GGTATTGGGCCTTTCGCTATTGGTTCTTCTTCGAGGTTTTGTTTTATCATCATTTGTGGGCCCCTGTCCAGGGGTTTTATCTGTTGTTGGACGGGCTTCGCCGCCGCGGCCCGGCGATGGCGACCTTCGCCATCGCCAACGGCCGGGACTGCGACCTCGCCGGGGTCGAAACGCGGGCCGAGGCGGTCGCCAGGGCGATCCGCGCGCATTGCGCGGCGATTCGATGATCGGGCGGGAGGGGGGAGGCGCGCCCTCTTTTTTTTCTGTTGTGGTTGGTGTTGTGGTTCTTCTCAGTTGTGAATTTATGGAGTTGTGGATTTGGGTTTGCCCGTTTAGTGGAGTTGGGCATCGCACACGCGCACTCCCCCCCCCCCCAAAAAAAAAGGGTCCGGGAAGCGGCTGAGGGCGGCGCGTGTGCGGGATTTACAGACGGCCCGTGGCTATTTTTTTTCGTTTTTTTCTCCGTGCGTGTGCGGGAGTTCAGAGAGGGATCGATTTCACACGGATGGGGGTTGAATTTTTTGAGCTTTCGACCTAACGATTGGTTCTTTTTTCTTTTCTTTTAGGGTTTCTTTCGTTCCATGGTGAGACTTGTGTTTGATTTCTATTTCAGTTTAATCGAACCCCCGTTATTGATTCCTATCCAATATGGAATTCCATATCAGATCAACTCTAATCCTGCAATTCATGTAGCTTTTAAGGGATAATTTTTTTAAAAAAAGCGGTGAGGTGGCGGCCATGACTTTCTGGACAATCCCAAGGACAGGATAGTTGCTTCTCTATGTCTACAGGTGCGCTGCCTTCATTTTCTTCTACGGTTTGTTCCTTTTCTTTCTCAAATATATAACCAATATATACATACATATTTTTATATATAGAAATCCTCTTTTAGTGCTCCGTTTGCTAACATTTCATAGCACACGTTTCGATACTTTTTCTTTCTTGAGATTTTTTAATACGATAAGCGCCTAAAGGAACCGGTGGTATTCACTTTCTTTCTTGTGTATACACACCTGTAGGATCTTGCTTGGATAAAAGTTTCAATTTTAAAATTAATAAAACTCATCACCAGCATAATACAAAGGTTATTCCTACACTCCACCCCCACGACCGGAAACGAAAGTCAAGGATAGTGATCTTTCTATTTTAGGCTCAAAGGGTTACGAAGCTTTTGTTTTTTTTTAAAAAAATTTCCAAGAGGTTTGGTTCTTTTGCGGTCCTTTCTTATTTTGATATTAAAGCGAGTAACTGTGTGAGTCATAAGCTATTGGACTCAAATTGCTTTTCCTAACATAGAGGTTGAAGTTTAAAGGAATTTGGACTTCTTTTATAGGGCTGCATTTGCACACTGAAGTTTTGTGGCGCTAAATTTAGCAGGTTGCATTTAATACGGATTGGACAGAAACCCCAAAAAAATTATAATAAAAAAAAAAATTTAAACAACCCCAACCCCAAACACCCAAACCTATAAAGAAAACCAAACAAACCCTCATATATCTCTCTCTTTATATATATATATATATACATATATATATATACATATATATAGAACCCCCCAAAAACGCGTACGGCGATCTCGAACTTTCCTTTTTTTATCCTTTTCTTCCCATGGCGTTGAATATTCAGGATTTGGTCAAGGCGGAGTTGGTTTTGCACGGCGGGGAGCGCTTCCCCGGCTACTCCTTCGGCCACGAGGAGAGCATCGCGGGCGAGGTGGTCTTCTCGACCGGGATGGTCGGCTACCCCGAGAGCCTCACGGACCCGTCCTACCAGGGCCAAATCCTCGTCCTGACGACGCCGATGGTGGGAAACTACGGGGTCCCCCCGGTTGAGGAGGATTGTTTTGGCCTGACGAAGTATTTCGAGAGCTTCCACGGCAAAATTCACGTGAGTGGGGTGTTGGTTCAGCAATACTGCGAGGACCCGGATCATTGGGAGTCGTGCGAGAACCTCTCGCGCTGGCTTCGGCGGCATCGCATCCCGGGCATGATGATGGTGGACACCCGCAGTATCGTCCTCCGCCTGCGCGAGATGGGGACGGCGCTGGGGAAGTTGATCATCAACGCCCAGGACGTCCCTTTTATCGACCCCAACACCCGCAATCTCGTGGCGGAGGTCAGCACCCGCACCCGCGCGACGTACGGCCACGGCACGTTGATTATCCTCGTGATCGACATGGGCGTGAAGTTGAATTCCCTGCGGTGTTTGCTCAAGTACGACGTCACCCTCGTGGTGGTCCCGCACGATTGGGATATCACCACGGAGGTGTATGATGGGCTGTTCATCAGCAATGGCCCGGGGAACCCGCAGCTCTGCACGACGACGATTCGCAACGTCCGCTGGGCCCTTCAGCAGACGAAGCCGATCTTTGGGATTTGCATGGGGAATCAGATGCTCGCCCTCGCGGCGGGCGGGATGACCTACAAGATGAAGTACGGCCACCGCGGGCAAAACCAGCCCTGCAAGTGCAGCGTCGATGGCAAGGTCGTCATCACGACGCAGAACCACGGCTTCGCCGTGGATTTTAAGTCGATGCCGCAGAACGAATGGCTGGAGTACTTCACGAATTCGAACGATTTCAGCAATGAGGGGTTGATTCACCGCACGAAGCCGTTTTTCAGCACGCAATTCCACCCCGAAGGGCGGTGTGGGCCGCAGGACACCGCCTACCTCTTCCGCGAGTTCGTCGAGAAGGTCAAGGCCTCGAAGGTGAAGGAGATGGCGACCTACAAGCCGAGCAAAGTCCTCGTGCTCGGGGCGGGAGGGATCGTCATCGCGCAGGCCGGGGAGTTCGACTACAGCGGCTCGCAATGCCTGAAATCCCTCCGCGAGGAAGGCGTCGAGACGGTTTTGATTAATCCCAACATCGCGACCGTCCAGACCGACGACGAGATGGCCGACCACATCTACTTCGTCCCGCTCACGCCGGAGGCGGTCGAGGTCGTGATCGAAAAGGAGCGGCCGGACAGTATTATGCTCGGCTGGGGCGGGCAAACCGCGCTGAACTGCGGCCTCGAGCTCGATCGGCGGGGGGTTTTGCAGAAGTACAACATCCAAGTCCTCGGGACGCCCATCTCGGTCATCGCGATCACGGAGGACCGCGAGCTGTTTCGCGATTCCCTGCTTCAGATCGACGAGCACGTGGCGAAGTCGATCGCGGTGACGTCGATGGCGGGCGTGGCGGCCGCCGCGGAGGCGATCGGCTTCCCGATGATGGTCCGCGCGGCCTTCTGCCTGGGCGGGCAGGGCAGCGGCATCGTCCACAACGCGCGCGAGCTCCACGCGAAGGTCCAAACCGCCCTCGCGATCGCCCCCCAGGTCCTGCTCGAGCAGAGCGTCGCGGGCTGGAAGGAGATCGAGTACGAGGTGGTGCGGGATATCTACGATAACTGCGTGACGGTGTGTAATATGGAGAATTTCGACCCCATGGGCATCCACACCGGCGAATCCATCGTCGTGGCCCCCTCCCAGACCCTCTCCAACGACGAGTTCCACCTGCTGCGGAGCGCCTCCATCAAGATCATCCGCCACCTCGGGATTGTCGGGGAGTGCAATATTCAGTACGCCCTGGAGCCGAACTCCTGCCGCTACGTCGTGATCGAGGTCAACGCGCGGCTCTCGCGGTCCTCGTCGCTGGCCTCGAAGGCGACAGGCTACCCGCTCGCCCACGTCGCCGCGAAGATCGCGCTCGGCAAGGCCCTCTTTGAGATCAAAAACGGGGTCACGAAGAGCACCGTGGCGTGTTTCGAGCCGAGTTTGGACTACATCGCGGTCAAAGTCCCGCGCTGGGACCTGTCGAAGTTCAACCTCGTCAGCGAGGCCATCGGCTCCGTCATGAAGAGCGTCGGCGAGGTCATGGCGATCGGCCGCACCTTCGAGGAGGCGATCCAGAAAGCCCTGCGGATGGTCAACCCGGAGTACCTCGGCTTCGAGATCCCGAAGCGCTTCGAGGCCCCGGGGTGGGATTACCTCGCGCAGCTCGCGCAGCCCACGCCGTACCGCATCTTTGCGCTTTGCCGGGCCCTCCAAGAGGGCCACACCGTCGCCGACCTCCACGCGCGGACCGGCATCACCAAATTCTTCCTTTCCAAGCTCGACCACCTCGTCAAACTCCGCCGGGCGACCGTGCAGGGCTACCGCGACCGCCTGGCGACGATGCCCCGCGCGGTGCTGTGGAATTTGAAGGCCCACGGCTTCAGCGATCTGCAGTTGGCGGGGTATTTATGCACCTCGCACGAGGAAATCCGCGCGCGGCGCCTGGCCTTGGGGGTGATGCCTTTCGTCAAGCAAATCGACACCGTCGCCGGGGAGTACCCGGCGGTGCAGTGTTGTTATTTATACACCACCTACAACGCCGAGTTCGACGACGTGGACTTTGGCGAGCGGTTTTACGCCGTTTTGGGCTGTGGGGTCTACCGCATCGGGAACAGCGTCGAGTTCGACTACGCCGGGGTTCTCGTCGTGCGGGAGCTTCGCCGGCTCGGGAATCGGGTGATGATGTTGAATTCCAACCCCGAGACCGTCTCCACCGACTACGACGAGTGCGATCGGCTGTACTTTGACGAGGTCAGCGAGGAGGTTGTGCTGGATATCTTCCACAAGGAGCGCGTGAAAGGCGTGGTGATCTCGCTGGGAGGCCAAATCGTGCAGAACATGGCGCTTCGGCTCAAGGCGCACGGCCTGCCGATCCTCGGGACCGACCCCGCCAACATCGACTGCGCCGAGGACCGCTCGAAGTTCTCGCAGATGTGCGATGACCTCGGCGTCCCGCAGCCGGAGTGGGTCTCCGCGGTGTCGATCCCGCAGGTCTTGGCCTTCTGCGAGCGCGTGGGCTACCCGACGTTGGTGCGGCCGAGTTATGTCTTGAGCGGCTCCGCCATCGCCGTCATTGCGAACGCCGCGGACGCCGAGAATTACCTGCGCGAGGCTTCTTTGGTTTCCGGGGTTCACCCCGTGGTGGTGAGCAAATATTACGAGGAGGCGATGGAGTACGACGTCGACATCGTGGCCCACCACGGGCGGGTGCTTTGCTATGCGATCTGCGAGCACGTCGAGCAGGCCGGCGTGCACTCCGGCGACGCCACGATGTTCCTGCCCCCGCAGAACACCGACAAGGAGACGATGAAGAAGATCTACGACTCGACGATCCGCATCGCGGAGCGGCTGGACGTCGTGGGGCCGCTCAACCTCCAGTTCCTGCTCACCCGCGAGAAGCAGCTCCGCGTGATCGAGGCGAACGTGCGCAGCTCCCGCTCCGTCCCCTTCGTCTCCAAGGCGCTCGGGATTTCCTTTCCGGAGATGATGGTCTCGGCCTTTCTTGCGCGGAAGGAGCAGGACTTGGTCCCGATCAAGCGCGCGAAGATGACCCACATCGGCTGCAAGGCGTCGGTCTTCAGCTTCAACCGGCTCGCCGGGGCGGACCCGATCGTGGGGGTGGAGATGACGTCCACCGGGGAGGTGGGGGTTTTCGGCCGCGACCCTCACGAAGTTTTTTTGAAGGCGATGAGCGCCCAGAACGTGGCGATGCCGCGGCGCGGCGTCTTCTTCGCCTGCGAGGACGCCGCGAAGGAGGAGGGGCTGGCCCGCGCGTTGTCGGAGCTCGCCCCGCGGCTGCGGATTTACTGCGCGGGGCGGAACAGCGCGACGCTTCGGCGGCTCGGCATCCCGCACGCCGTGGTGGCCCAGCGGGACGAGGCGGGGAACTTCGGCGACGACGTCCCGCTCTACGACGACGCCGTCGCGCGGAAGGAGTTGTTCGACTTCGTGATCCAAATTCGGGATCGCCGGGCGGATTTTATGCTGCGCCGGTGCACGGCGGCGACGGCGCCGCCCGGGTATTGGGTCCGCCGCCTCGCCGTCGACTACAACATCCCGCTGCTGACGGAGGCGCCGCTGGTGCGGTGGTTTTGCGCGGCCTATGCGAAGTTCGTCGACCGCCTCGACATCCAGCCCTTCCGCGACTACGTCCCGAAGATTTATCACCGCATCGAGAACAACAACTACGCCGTGTTGAGCGCGCACAAAGTCGGGCTGATGATCGCGGACAACAACCTCAGCCGCGTCCTGGCGGTGCGGCTCGGGCAGGAGAACATCGACCTCACCTGCTTCCACGCCTACCTCGGCGGCAACATCGAGGACGACTTCGAGCGGTCGTTTGACGGGCTCAAGGCGCCGGTCGCGATTGTCGACCTCCGGTCCGAGATCGCCGACGGCGCGTTCGAGTTAATCACCTGCCAGTCCGCCGACGAGCGGCGGAATTGGCATCTGAGCAAACTCGCCTGGCATATTATTGGGAAACGTTTATTAACGGAGATGCGGGAGCGGCGAATCACCGTCGTCGCGCAGGTCTCCAGCCACGAGAACAAAGTCGCGCGGGTCGAGCAGTACGTCAAGTTGTACGCCCCGATGATGGGCGTCTACAACGCCTGGCGCGACACGCGGCTCATGGAGGACTGCCGCAGCGAGGCCGAGCAGCTCGCGATCCTTCGCCAGGCCGGGATGCCGCCCAGCCGGCGAACGGACGGGCTCGTCCACAGCTCCGTCTGCGGGAATACCTATTACTTCCACAAGCGCGGCCCCACCGAAGGGGAAACGAGCCCCGGGGGGTGGCCGGAGCCGCGGTTCGCGCGGGAGATCGCCGCCCACGACGGCGCGCCGGAGTTCGTTTCGCTGCACTTCCGCGCCGCGCGGTGCGTCGGGATCAACGGCGTCGACGTCGCCCCGCTGTTGGCCCTGCAGATGGCGAACGAGATCGCGGCGCGGAACGGGGTCGGGGTGGTGTGCACCGACGCCGCGATGTTCGAGGCCCCCGGGATGAATTTGCTCTCCCAGGGCCTGAAATTTCTGTACGAGGTCTATTTTAACCCCCACACGGAGGAGATTTTTACGACCTATTCCCGCCTGGTCGCCCAAGGGCTCGCGCTCGGGCAGTACTCGGAGCTTTACACCCAATCCGCCGTGGAGGCGATTCGGTTCCTGACCGCCAACGTCGCCGGGGTCGTCGAGCTGGAGCTGAACCAGGGCGAGGTGATCTTCCTGAAGCTCTCCAAAGTCGCCCTGCCGGCGACCCGGCGAATCGCGCGGATGATGTCCGCCGAGGGCGACGACGAGATCTTCCAGCCGGGCAATGGCTCCTTCAGCGATATCCAGTGGTAGGAACCCCCAGAGCGCACCCCACAACCGAGCGGAAAAAACGCGACGAAACCCACCACAGCGAGGTCTAAAGATCTTTTTTTTTTCTCTTTCTTTTTCTGTTCTTTTTTTTTTTGGATGTGTGTTTCCCCTTTTTAATGTCAGCCCGATGCGATTTTCTCGTTCAACCGCGCAGTGTGGCTCGCTTGCACCTGTGACCGAACAAGGGGAAAAACGAGCGGAGGAAGGCTATGTCAAAGACTTCCAGTACAACGTTAAGCCAACCGCGATAGATATATATATCTCTATATGTATAGCTATATGGCTATACCACTTAACCTATACAAATAAGGGGCTTTTCCTTTACATGGATACATCGTCTAATGGGAAGCGCTATAATTAAATGTTGAACTCGGTTTTTGTTATTCTAATTATGATTTCTTTTGTTTTGATCGGGTGAAGTTGAGGGGGGGAGGAGGGGGGGGTCCGGTGATGTAGATTTCATTAATCATAATAAATCCAATAACATTCAATATAAACAATCTGACTTCACTATTTTCTCTCTCCATCTTTGTTTTCTTCACCCTTCCTACCCACTGAAAAGGAAGTAGTAAAGAGAGCAAATAAGGGCGATAAGTTACTTAACGTCAAGCATTTTTTTTTTTCATATGTGGCGTATCATTAAATGCATTCTTTTTTGATTGTAGATGACGTGTTCATATATTTTTTCCACCATTTTTTCTTATTGAACGATAAGCGTAATAACAAAACGTCTTTTCATTTTTTTTATATCCTCTTTTTCTTTTTTTTGTTTCAAAACCTTATGATGAAAAAACAAAACAAAACAAAACAACCACAACTTATTAATGTTTATCATGCTTTTGTCACCTTTTGAATAAAGCCTTCACGAGATGAGTCTTCGTTGAAATAAAATTCAAGTTCGACCTCACCCAGACAGGACCGGCTGTTGGGTTGGTCGTCCCTTTGCTTTAGGATAAAAGGTGGTTTCGACCATTGCGTTGATGTTTTGGGATAACTGCGGGTTTGCGTTTGGAGGATGGGTGCGAGGAGGCGAATGGTACTTTGGCCTCGATGTG